TCCTTGAGGTTTGCTCATTAAGAAGGCGAAGTATTTATTGGGATCGGTTTCTTCATATGATTTCGTCAAGTACCTATTATTGGGATGTACGGTACCTGTCTCAATGTGAGTTCAGCCTAGAGTCCTATACTACGGCCTAGGCTTTAAGGTGTTCGGTTTGAACTCTCAAGAGTCAGTTCATTAAATGGCTCACTTGGTGAAACAACATTCGATTATATTAGTCTCTGAGGAAGTATTTTTATATTCGGTCCTTTTTCACAACTAGTGAGTAACTCTCTCAATTTGATTATGTTTGAGTTGGAGACATCTCGGTCTACTCCAAGAGTGTTCCGTCTTGTCTGGAGATTAAAAACTAACGTGCGGTATGTGGTATCCTACGGGATCATATTCAAATTGGTCAGTTGAGGTTTTAATAATGAAAAGATGATAGAATACGATATGGATGGAAATGACTTTGGTTATGAAGAGTATTCTTGGAGAGGAAATATCTCATGATTGATATGGAAAACCATCGGCAAAGTATGAATGCGGGCACGCTAGCTGACGATTCATCCTGAGATCCGTGATACATCGTTTTCACGTAGAGAAGGGGTAAGTCATGTGTGAGATGGCAGGAGGTTCCTCATCCTTATGATTAATTTGGGGTGGTGGAATGGACTAACCTCGGCGGTGTCAGCTGTTAAGGGTTTACCCAATTACGACACACCCGGGTGCACGGAAACGTCGTAGCTACATCATATCATACAGTCCGGACAATCAGAGTCTAGTATTAGGCTTGCATGAAAGAGTTAATGAGTTATCTTGTTTAAATGATGAAGTGAGATATATGTTGATAATTGAATTAAATTACATAAGGCTTACCCTATTCCATGTCTTGTCCGTTTTGTACGTGGCAGTGGTTGTCTTCTGTTGCAATGATCATCCGTGTGGATGTGAGAGAAGGAGAAGAATTTGTGGAAGAGCGCTGGAAGAAGAAAGTTTGGTCGAGGTAGAAGTTAAGACGAACAGTAGAGTCGTTCGTATAGTTAGTTTCTTTGTCTGAAACTCGTTCGGTCATCTGTTGTTTTCTTCCTTTTGATGGACCGTTCGGTACGTCTTCTGTAAGGGAACACATTCGGTCTAGGATTGCATAATTGTACAGTTTTTGATTTCCTGTTATCTTGTAAGGCGTTCGGCCAAAGCGTTACGTTCTCATCTTTGTAAGACTGGTCTGGAAATAATTATTAATAGGTTATTATTCCCTATATAGTTTTATACTGTATTTTGGGATGTTACAAAAATGAACTGAAAAATTCGATTATCGAATAAACGTAAAAATAGATAATAATTTCATACATCCTAATATTTATGTGTTTATTAATAGATGTTTTTGTGATTAAATCTGACTATATTTTGAATATGTTCATGCACAATCCTCATCGTATATTTATTTTTTTGTTTTGTTTTTTTTTTTTCGATTATTACCTCTTAGTGTGTGCAGATGATGAGTTGTTAATATGCTTTTAGGACAGATGATGACGAGTAGAATAATGAATAGCTTTATATAGTTTTTTGTATAGGAGTTTCCTTCTTTTATCAACTCTAGTATATTTAAATGGATAATTGTATTAATATCTTATATGTTTCCTAAATTGTGTATTATCAAACTTTATATCGTTTTATTTAGGTTTAATACATCATTTGATCCCTACTTTTGGGGGTTTTGTTCAAAATGGTCCCACCTTTTGAAAAAGTTCAGTAAGGTCCCATATTTTGGTTTAAAATGTTCAATTCGGTCCTTTTCGTGGACGGCGTTAGAAACTTAACGGTGGTGGTGCCACTGTGGCGAAATTTGAGTGAGCTGTTATGTTTTAATGGTTACGTGGCACTGTAAATTGGGGAAATATCCTAAATTGGGGACCCTAAAGTGGAAATTAGAATCAGAAGCCTTAAATTGGGGAAAAATCCCCAATCTTCTCCTGCTTCTTCTTCATCTCTACTCCCTGCAACCTCATCCAGACTAGACACACCTTCTTCACATTCTGAACCATCACTGCAGCAACTGCGGTGAACACTCTTCTTCTACTTCTTTTTCTCCTTCGCTAGACGATTGATTTCAGCTTTTGCTTGGTTCAGCAGCCACTCCACGGTATTGCTAGCTTTGTCAAAGCCCAGCATATCTTGCAAACCAAAAAACCTCCTTGCAACATTAAGGGAAAGTCTCATTCTCCTATCCCTCAGTCCCCTACGGTGTTGTTGGAGGGAAATATGAGAAAGACTAACCGGTTGAGGGTCAGGGTTTTGATATTGGGGATTTTTCCCCAATTTAGGGTTTCTGATTCTAATTTAGGGTTTAGGGTTATTAAAACTTTAGGGTTTTCCCCAATTTAGGATATTTCCCCAATTTACAGTGCTACGTAACCATCAAAACATAACAGCTCACTCAAATTTCGCCACAGTAGCACCACCACTGTTAAGTTTCTAACGCCGTCCACGAAAAGGACCGCATTGAACATTTTAAACCAAAATATGGGACTTTACTGAACTTTTTCAAAAGGTGGAATCATTTTGAACAAAACCCCCAAAAGTAGGGACCAATGATGTATTAAACCTTAGAAATTTTATGTTTCTATTTAATGTATTATATAGTATATTAATACATGTAAGTTTGTATATGATTTGTTTTATCACAGATGTTTCATAATGTCAACCCTCCACTGACATAAATCTAAATTTAACATAACAATATAATAATATTTAAATCAATTGTTTATAACTTTCATTTAAATCGCTGTTATTATTATTATTATTATTATTATTATATATGTGTATAGTGTATGACTTATGTGCATTTCCAAATATATTGAAGTGACAAATAGTATAGAATTAAAAAATCATAGGAGACAATTAGAGTCTGCAAAGTTTGACCGTTGACTATGTGTGTTTGTACACTCTTCTATTCCTGATATTTAGCATTCTGATTGTATAAGTGACGGTCACGTGTCCGTACATGTGTAGGTGAATAATATTGATTACTTACGACTAAAGTTTACGAAGACAATTATTTGGATCATCAACAATGTTTGTTTACTCCCTCAAGTCTTGTCTTGTCGAGTGAATGAATCTCTATAACCTCAATTTTTGTCATTTATTTCTTTAAAGTTATCAATCATATTCAACTTTAATTCTTAGCAAAACCAACCTTTTTACATACAAATTATTAAAAATATTATCTTCCTTTCGTTACTTGTTATAAAACTATACAATAAGACCTTATCCTTATCATTATTTGAGACAGGATCAAAGACCATAGTGTTCTCGGGTTTCGCACAAACAAAAAGAATGAAAAACTTTAGTATTAGACAGAATGAATTGTACAAAATAAATAAAATAAAAGAATAAAAACTTTAATCGAAGATAATTTTTAATGGTTAATTATTATTTAATTAGTTATTACATTTTAACTTATTTTGTTAGTTGTGAAAATGAAACAAAGTATATAAGTTTCCCATCTCTAAATAAATAAATTTGGATTTTAGGTATTAGGATTATGAAAATCATATTTTTTTAAACTAAAATTATTTATTAAAACAGATCCATTTTAAAAATGAAGAGATATTCGTTTTAGATTATGTGAAGAGAAAACACGGTGGGTGACGTGTAATGGCGTGAAGCCCACGTAAGGTAGGTGGGGCCCACCATATGTTCCACGTGTCTTAATACTAATCTCTCTGATCCGTAAAGCACATTCATTGGCCTTTTCTAGAGTCCTAATTTGATCCAAACACCTCCCAATCACTTCACCACAAATTAAATCTAATCAAATACCATCCATCCATTGCCGATAATTGCGCATGCTTCCTTTTACATTAAACAATTCAGATTTAAATTACTGTTTCATGAATGAAATTCAATGCATATAATATTTATTTTATATTTAACAAGCAGTTTTCATATTATTGAAAGTTCGATTATATAATAACCAAAGAATTAAATTAAATATTGGTGCTCAAATATTTCCGCACTGAAGAGTCAAAGTCAAGCACAAAAAGCTGTCTTAGAACTTTTTTTATAATTTAGGATAGAGATTGAAAAAAAAAGAAATCCTTATCCAAATAAATAATGCTACTAGATAACTTTGATTGAAAGAATATAACATAATACCACAGTCTCAGAATAATTATCACTATCTTTATTAAACAGAAACATTTTTTAAGACGTCAAATAGAAAGTAACTTTCAGATTTATTTTTTATTTTCTTAAAATTGTATTGATGAATCATTTTCATGATAAGAAGAGGTGATATTCATGCGGTTGATTATTTAAAATATTGATTATTTAAAATATTTGTGCAACGGGAATAAAGAAATTGTCCTAATGGCTTAAATAAAGGAAAACGTTATATTAATTTTTTTTGTTGTATGTCAATTAAAGCAAAGTGCCGTTTTGTTTAACCAAACTTAACCTTATTTAGAACATTATATAAAGATTTTCTCTTTGTTCATATTTTATTTTTTATTATATTTTTGATGATATCTTTTACAATTAATTTTATTATTTTTTAAAATTAATTTTTTTTATTTAATAATTTTCTTTTTCAATTGAACTAATTTTTAAATTAAAATAATTATTTTTAGTAACAAATCATCTATAACAATATAACAAAATTATAAAATTTAATCATATTTTATTATTATATGTGATTATTACTGAATATTGAAAAAAATGTACTGGACAGTGCAATATAGACAATGTCATGGAAGCACTTTTATTTATGATTAATCCATTTTTTCACTGGCTCACTCTACAGGCACGTGTTTGGAAGTGTAATGTACGTGCCATCACGTGAAAACAACACGCTGCTATTTTTTTTTTTTTTTCTCTGTGGACTCAGTTGAGGAGTAATCACTATTTCCACGAAACGGCTCATATTTCTCATTTAATAAGTGTTTATGTAAATCAATTTTTTATATTAAATAAATATTTATGAAAAGGATTAGATGGAAAGAAAAGGAAAAAGGAAGGAAGAGGAACCAGCGATGGAGCGCGTTCCACTGACACAAAATGATAAAAGAGGCGTTAATTTAGAATTCCAGATTTAACCTCGAGGATATTCCTAAAACCCGGAATTATCCATCACCAGCACCACCCTGTTCTGTGTTTTACCTTAATTAACCAAACACATGCATTCTTTCTATATCCCTTTTCTCCATCCATAGTTCCAATTTCCTTTCCCATAACCATTTTCTATTTTCCTTTCCTCTCCTTATTCTTCTTCTCCTCTTTTCTTCACTTTCTCTCTCCATCCATCCCTCCCTCCCTCCCTGGACCGAGTCACGCGGCGAGGATCGGCATGACTCGGCGGTGCTCCCACTGCAGCAACAACGGCCACAACTCCCGCACGTGCCCGTCGCGGGGGGTGGGCGCCGGAGTCAAGCTGTTCGGGGTGAGACTGACGGATGGATCAATCATAAAGAAAAGTGCCAGTATGGGAAACCTTAACCTCGCCTCCACACACCACCATTCTTCTCCTTCTTCCTCCAACCTCGCCGCCTCCTCTCCCAACCCAAGCTCTCCCTGCTCCGACCCACCTCATGAGCCCCAAGGTTACTTGTCCGACGACCCCGCCCATATCTCCACCTTCGCTAACCGCCGCGGTGAAAGAAAAAAAGGTTCTCATGGTTTCCATTTCTCCATTTCTTTACCCTTTTATTTAGCTTATTTCGCTATAATTGGAATCCGAATCGGAATTTATTTTATTTGTTGGTTTCACATTTTGTTTGTCCTGTTAGTTTTGTTTTTTCATTCCCTATTTGTGTTGTTTGAGGATTTCTTATTTCTTGCATTTCCTAAATGTCTATGTTAAATACCATGCTTTTTCCAACCTCCCCTGTCTTGGAACTAGTGTATTTTGGTTTTCTCCTTAGTGTTTTATGCAGTTGCTGGTCCTCCCAGGGGGCAATGGCTGTATTTAATGTCTTGATTGGTGGGTAATTTGGACGAATGCGGATCATTTATTATATAGCGTGTATGATATCATACTCCAGTTGGGAGCTCATGGCATGCCGGTTCATTGAATTTGTATGATATCATACAATTTTAACTTCAATTTTTTATCACTTGATGATAATATTGATTAAAATAATATTAACGAATTCTTACATGGGCAAGCGGTGGTATATTTCCGCATCCATTTAATTTATTTGGGATATCGGAAATTGGGGCATCCATTATGGTGCAAGCAATTAAAAAAAGAGAAGTAAATGTGCTTATTTGACAATTACTGGCATTTCTGGCTTGTGGAATCTGTTCAAACCTGATTGAGAGTTTGTTGCTTGAGTCTAATTACCTCTCTAAGCAATGTTCTTGGATGGTTTAACTAGTTTAGTTACTGTTGTTTGTTGCACATTTATTTGTTTTTATAATTTTGGCAAACAGTAGCTTTTGTTTATTAATCATGATCTGCTTGATACCTAAATAGGCAGAGTTGGTGTGGTAATTAATTATCATGTTTGGCTTTAAGATAGACACAATCATGACTTTTGGTTATCCCCCCCTTCGGACAGGGGTCATACATGAATGCTTAGTAGTTTAATAGAAAAATCACAGGGCTAAATGCATGAAGTATTTTCAAAGGGAAAGACAATCAAATTATGTTTATGCTTATTATTTGCATATTTATGTGAAGGTTTTAAGTTAACGTTTTATCTGAATGACTGGTGCCTTCTTTCATCTGAATGACTGGTGCCTTCTTTCATCTGAATGACTGGTGCCTTCTTTCATCTGAATGACTGCTGCCTTCTTTCGATACCAATCGTTGTGTAATAGCATACATTTCATGACAACGTTTTTTCAAGTGTAGAAATTTGTTGACGAATATTCATTGATATTCTCTGCTCAATTTCAAAGCCAACAATTTTGTTGATGATTTGCTATTCGTCCTAAGGTGGCTTTGTAATTGAATTATTTTGCTGAGAATGCTATTTATTATTCTTGATATTCCGTTCTCTGTAGGCTATAGTTTGTTTAACTAGGACCCTCTTCTTCCAGAGAGATTCAGTCACATGAAATCTTTAACTCTTGGAATGGTGATGTTCGGTTCTAATCAATGGTCAACAGATAGTTAACTTCAGTAAATTTTGTTACACTTTTACAAGAAAAAGAAACGGATTCTTTACAATTTTACTGACAAGGAAACTGGTTTATGTACAGAAAACAACAGAAACAAGAAAAGGTAAAAAAGAGTATTTAATACGCATACAAACTCACTCATTAATTTTAGTTACAAAGGAAAGTACTACTCCAATGGTTTTTTCTTTAGGGTCCATTTTTGAAATATATTTTTGTTTTTATTTGAATTTTATATTTAAAGTTCAAGATAACCTTAATTACTTTTTATTTTGTTATATACCCTTATCTTTCTCCAAAGGAACATGAAACACACTTAAAAAGGAAGGAAGTAAGGTAATTAACTGAAATTAACTCTCTATTGACACTAATCCCATTATGTCATACCTATTACCTTATCTATAATGTTTTCTACTTTGGTACTTAGTCCCACTGTTCCTATTTAATGGTCACTTTTTGAAGGAAAAATTGTTCCTTTTTATCTGTAATTTTAAAATTTTTTTTTCCTATTTATGCTCTTACTTCCAATTTGATCATGCATTGAAAATTGTTTGTAAAGAGAAAACTGAAAGAAGTATAATAGCAACTTATTTAAAATCGTGTTGAAAATAAAGGATTAAATGTTTTTCTTGATTTAGATGAAAGAATCTAAACAAGACAGAGGCTGGGAAGTACCTTATTTTCTCACATACCCTTTTGTGTCTGGTGATTGGATTACTTTATTCAGTATTTACTCGTTTGTTTTAGGTGTTGCGTGGACTGAAGAAGAGCATAGGCTGTTCTTAATTGGTCTCCAGAAGCTGGGCAAAGGAGACTGGCGTGGCATAGCACGTAATTTTGTCGTAACAAGGACCCCTACTCAAGTAGCAAGTCATGCCCAGAAGTATTTTATCCGACAAAGTCATGCTACCAGGAGAAAGAGACGTTCCAGCCTTTTTGACATGGTTCCGGATATGGTTGGTTTTATTCATCGTATCACATCTAATTGGAAATCATGCGCACATCTTATTATGCCTCAATGTTTTCTAATGGAGGGAAAATTAGTGTCGTTCTTGCTTGTGCATGAACAGCCATACTCGAGAATACATGCCATCTCTTCTCTGCTATAAGTTTAATAGTTTTTTATTCCCATTGCACATCTACTTTCTTGTGAATACGTGTCATGTCTTTATTGAAAAATACCAAGGTTTTGCTTGGGTTGAATATCATGACAAATGACAACTTTATTGGACATTCGACTCTGGATTTTGCTTTAGATAAACTTTTCTGTTACCATGATGCACTTACAGTATTATGTATTTGCCAAGTAAATGGGTCATCCTTGTTCTTGCTGGAAACTGCCAATTAGTTATGCTCTAAGATTCTTTTGTAAACGTAGTGGTAATATTTTTCCTCTGCATCTCTGGCTAACTTTTATTTTTAATCATGTCAGACTTCAGATCCACCTTCTGTGCCAGAAGAACAAGTTCTGCTTCCACCTTCTGAGAACTCCCAACCTTGTACTGGAAAATCGCAGCCTTCACTAAATCTCTCCCTCAAATCAGAATTTGAACCCATGGAAACTTCTCAAGAAAACATGGAACAGACCAATGAAACTATGATGGGATCGAACGTACTGACATCAATGGCTCCTCATGGATTCTTCCCCACTTATTTACCTGTTCCATTTCCCATATGGCCATCAGCTGCAGCTCCTTTTGAAGAAGTTAAGGGAGGAGAGACATCCCATCATCAGGTCCACAGGCCAATCCCAGTCATTGCCAAGGAACCTGTCAATGTTGACGAACTCGTGGGAATGTCTCATCTCAGCATTGGGGAAACACAGGTACGTGATAGAGAGCCTTCCCCACTTTCCTTAAAGTTGTTAGGGGAACCCTCTAGGCAGTCAGCATTCCATGCAAATGCTCCAGTTGGTGGTTCCGATTTAAAAACTGGCAAGAACAAAGCAATTCAAGCGGTTTGAACTTTTAAGGTCTGGTGAAGATAGCCGCAGTAATTAAGCCTTCTTTTGCTCTTCTTTTCATTTGTACTATCATATATATTTTTTTTTTCTGAGCCCTAGTGTTTAACCTTCCAATCAGTAGAGCAAGTTATATGGTGGCATGTAGCTCAGGTTAGATCAATTATTGGCAAATATTTATTCTTTCTAACTGTAAACAAATGAAGCTTTAATAATCAAATATCACCAGGAGGTCTTTGTACCTCTAGGTTTGGTTATTTAGGGTTAATTTTGATGAAGATTTCAGCAAATAATTACACCGATTGACCAAAAACAAAATAAAGTGAATTATGTAAAGTGAGTCTAATGTTTAGTAGTTGTTAAAATTAATTTATGCATCTTAATTTTTTCTACTCATTTAAATCTATACATACATTTAAAAATACTTAGGAATCAAATGTTTATTTTAATTAAACGGTTCTTATGAGTTAAAAAGTTAATCCAAATTGAGTCATAATTGTTGTCTAGCCAGTGTTCCAGCTCTCCCGCAGTAGATGTGTTGTGTGATGTACCAATTCGTATGTTTTGAAAAAAAACTGTATATGCTTTTAACAAGAATTTATGATTTATATATACGTGTAAATAACTAATAATTACTCTTGGGTGGATAGAATTATGTGATTTGTCTAATGGATAATTCGAACTTGTCAAATTGAAAACTAATGGACTAATTTTAAATGCTGTATTATACGTCTCGTTGAGGCTGTTTTCCCATAGAAAGTATTTTTTTTTTTTAATTTTGATAACTGAAATTTAGAATTACTATCAAAATAAAATATTAATTTTGATCCGTGGATAACATTAGTAATAATTACAGTCCAATATTTTCAGTTAAGCCACATATTCAGAAATATTGTTTACTATGAGATATCTTGACAACTTCTCCCAAAGTATATGTAAGAACACACTGTCTGGAACTATCTCGTATCATTTAAAAATGTGATGAAATTGCATACATTTTCTGTTGACAGCAGACTAGGAGCATTATGTGGTATTATATATCATATCTTTTATAGAAAGGTTCATATTCATTAGGCTCATTTGTTTACTGGTGGTTTATTAGCTCCTTTTCCATGTTTGGTACAAGGATCTTGTCATGCATTAGGATAAAATTTTGGCGGACAGAGGAAAAGTTGCCTTTAGTGGCCATGCTTGTTGCTTTCAACAGTATCGTCCACACAGTGGATTCTGTAGATGATTAGTAGAATTGATGCTTTTGCAGAACAAGAATAACCCCCTAAAGCCACTGAGAACTGAGAAAGCAACCTCAGCAAACCTCTCCAAGATTGCATCAATTCCCACAGCCTTGATTATTCGACGATGAGAAAAGGAAAGGAAACAACTGCTATGCTTTTTCAGGTGCTGTGAGTGTGTGACATGAAATCCATCTGAGTCACTATGTTCTGCTCCAATCACGTCCCTTTCAATGTCATTGGATCTTCCTCGATCGCTTTAGGAAATAGGAGATACAGGCAGTGTTTTCTAGTGGTATGAAAATGATCATGAAAGCAGCACCCAAACATGTTAAGATTCTAACTTTGTGTTATAGTTACTAATTAAAGCTTATTTTGTTTTGTCCAGTTTACTTTCTAGTTAAAAACATATAAAGGTTAGTTCAAGACTAATAGTTTTGCTGATGGATCCATTAGGCTATCAGTTTTCACATGCAGAGGTTGATGATAGTCCATGGTGAGATTCTTATCAACATAGGAGACAGTGATAAGAGAAAGAAAAGAAGAAATAAAACAAAAACAATCTGCTGAGAGACAGCAGATTCTAATCCTTTTTCCACCCACCTAAAACATTCGACTTTTTGGCCCTTTACAAAGAACCAGATGTGACCACATACATACAACACAAAGAAAGGAGTAAATAAATTACTCTCATATTCTTTCTGATTTTTTCAGATTGCATACATTCTTTTGTCCTTTTAACCTTTATAGAAACTGTTTTTAATTCTATGAAATGTGTTACGTTAACTTGTGTCACCTAAAAAACACATTAAGGACAAGGGGATTATTATAAGGATAATGATACTTTACAACATTTTTTAACAATATTTTAACACCACCTACATGTCATTCTATGATTGGTCCATGTTGGTGTTTATGATTATTATTATTATTGATTGTGGAGTATTCTTAAACCAATCACAGAATGACACGTTAATGATGTTAAAATGTTGTTAAAAAAATGTTGTCAAAAAAAATGTTGTCAGGATCGTTATCCTTATTATAAACATTTAAAAGACAATAGTATCGTCTATATTATCAAGAAGTGACAGAAATTGTCTGTAATTTTTTCTATAAGCTATGGCATAGACCAAATCGCCCTTGTCCTTTCACTGCACTGTGAAAAGAATTAGGAATAAAGAGAGAATGGAAAAGGAATATCTTCTTCAACACTTTTTTTTTTCCATTAAAACATTTTGCTTTGCTGAAATTGCAGAAAAGGAAATGACTAGGACACTGAGATGCAATGCAAAATTCTTGTAAAAACTCGTCAATCATTGAAATTTTTCCTTGTTATGTTGCACAATACAAGTTTTTCTTATTGATTCCGTTTGTAATAAATAAGAGTAATGATACCATAATATATTTTTGCATGCGTTTGACATATGGTAGAAGGATAAAATGATCGTAAAAGTATAAATTTTTGTATTTTTTTCAAAAAGGAAAAAAATAAAAAGTAAAGAAGTATGATATCAAATGATTGTTAAAAATTAAGGTGTATCAAAAAATATTTTTTAATAAAGAATGTTAATTATTCAAAAAGAGAGTAATTACATTAGTTCAAGTGGTGTTTCTTATTACATTAGGATTACACACTTTTACGTTTATTTCATACCTAGTATAAAGATAAAACAATTATAAAAAAAAGCATAATTTTATATTTAAAAAAATATATCGAATGTAAAAAATTTGTTTATGTTAAAGTATTTTTTTATTATCAGCTTAAAACTTCGAACTCAACCATTATTTTTCCTTTTTCTATGGTGTAGAACACTTACAAGGTATATTTAAACAAAGAGTACAAAAAAGTTGGCAAATTTAAGATTGGTTCATTTCATAACATGTTCCTGCTTTGAAATTTGGAATATAACAAATAAATAATATATTTTTTAGTCTTTAATCTAAAAAGTCATTTATAAATGTTATGTACTCAATTGTTTTAGTCTTTCATTGAAATAAAAGTTTCAAAAACTAGTTTGAATATTTCATTTTTAATGATTAATCTATTCAATCATCTTACAACATTATTTATCTTAGACAAAATTTAATTATGTTGGATAATATCTATATTGACTTTTCACTTAACACATTTGATCACAGCATAGTCAATATAAATGTTTTAATGATTAATGTCTTAATTTATATAGTTGGATTGAAATTATTAATTTTGAACATTGATAGACTAAATGTCTATATTTATGTCACGTAATTCAACAAACAAATTTGATTGTTTAATTTCTTAATAAAACAAAGCACATGTTAGCTATAGTGATAGCAAATTATACTATTTGGTTTAGAAAATTCCAATTAAATGTGAAATAGCTTAAAGGAGAAACTATTGTTGTATGAGTGAATAATTTAAAATATTACTAAAAGAAACTATACTATATTTTGTATAATAAATTGTACAATAAAAAGAAAGAGAGAAGGGTTCAAAAACATATAAGTAATAAACACACAAGAAATATGTTATGCTATTTACTCTTGTAAAGGAAAATTTTAACTAAAAATATTAAAGAAATAAAATCGTGAGTTGTGAAAATATTAAACCAATTGTTAATATATACACTTCTGACTTTCATTATAAATTAAAATATAGCAAAGTTGATGAATAAAACTCTCTTTTTCTTAGTATTTTAATTAGATCACCTTCAATGCACAGGTCTCGATTGATGTTTTAAATTAAAAATATAAGTTTTATAAGGAATTTTTATTGAAGCATGAGAGTCCTAAAATTATGATAGCGTTGTACAAAAATGTAGATCTTAAGACTAAAAAGAATATTCAATTAAATAATTAAATTAACTTTTTTATGTTGTAAGAAAAATAAAATGTAACTAGAGGTTAAAATATAAGTCATATCTCATCATTAAAACAAAACATGTAAAAAAATAAGGTGAAAAATTTAAACCTAGTTAAAGTAAAAATAACATTTTATTATAAAGTTTAATAAGACCCTTAAATTTTTTTAGTAAAAAATTCATAATAATTTCAAACAAATTTCATATACTATTCTAGTGATTAATAAAAAAAATTGTCTCAAGCAAGAGAGTTTATTTCATAATAAATACATAATATATTTTATATATATGCACATATGAAAATAATAGAAGATAAAAAATAGAAATAAGAACTAATGTTTGACAATTTATTTTTCTTTTTGTTTCAATATTTTATCACGTCATAACAACACCTAACATTCTGTGAGAATTTGAAAAAAGATTATACAAATAGTAATGATTCTGTGATGAATTAGAAAAAAGAAATGTTCTTTCAAACACATAATATTGGAATACGTACACTATGATATATTTAATTTAAATACGGAATCGTTAGATTTGCACGTGAATATAATCTTTCATATATTATTAACTAAATCTAAGACGTACAAAGAAAATTTTACACTTATGCGAGATAAATAATATTTTAGCATGGTAATGTAGGAAATAAATATTTATTTATATAATTAAAGTAAAATGATCTTGCTTAAAAAAATAAATAAACCACCTTAGCTTATTTGTTTAGTATAAATTTCATAATCTATTATCACTTAGTTTAAGTGTTCAAATCAGGTATGAAAAATGCTAAGAATTGAACTATAAAGTTAACTTAATTTCACACAAAGTAAATAACGCTTAGCTTATTTATTTAGTATTAATTTTGGTTTAAGAATTCAAATCAAACAAGTATAAAAGATGTTAATAACTGAATTTTAAACTTAAACATAATTACACAATATTAACTTTTGTTTAGTATGAATTTTATAATTCATCATTTAATTTAAAAGTTCAAATCAAACATGTATACAAAATATTAAAAATTGAATTTTAAATCTAATTTAATTCCAAATGACTAATATTTACATTTATTTATATATTTTAAATTAATCTTATTTCTAATCATAATGTTTTTTGTGAGGTCTCGGAAATTTAAACCATGATTACTGTCAAATTTGTCATTTATTGCACTGCTGAGTCACCTGACTGCTTCCATAAATGCATCGCGCCACACGTTCAGTGCATTAAAAACGCACTAAACGCTGCATGCATGAGCGCCACTTGTCACGTAGAAGTTTCGGAAGTCAGAAGTGAGAGTGCAGGTGTCAGCAGAGGAGACGCTCGTTCGTTTGGGCGTGGAAATTAACAAAACCGAGTTTCGAAAAACGCTCTCTCACCTGCACGCACTCTTCTTCTTCCTCAGAACCAAACCTTTCATTTTCTCCAACTTCTCTCTAGAACCAGTTCACCTTCTCTCTACTGTAACTCACCATTCCCTTCTCCGATCACGTTTCAGAACCGTAGAAACGTTCCTGGAGACGTGAACATCATTCGGGACCGAACAGAATTTGGATCGGTACTGGTAAGTTCTCATTTCTAAGCGTTCGTCCTTTTAGTTTCATGCGAACCCTAGTTCTGGTTGCATGCACGAGTTTTAGGTCTGAGTCGTTTATGATTTTTGGTGTTTTAGATTAAGTGAAAGTTGTTGAGCAAAACCTGAGGGTAGGACGCTGTTAGAGGTCGCACTAAATCTTGCTCTTTGGGAATACACTGCTATCCAGGTAAGGGAAGCTTAATAATTTGGTTCATACGTATATGATTGTGTGCGAGCATGATAGAAATAGAATGTATGAGATGTATGTTGTGCTTTAGTATGCTTGAACGATCGCTGTTATGCATGAATTAATATGGTATGCGTAGGTTGATACGTATGAATTAGATAATGGATGCTATTTGTATAATATGATTTATTAATGTGAATTCTATATAGTATGTGAATTAAATGATGAATCGGAAATTATAAGATCATGAATCGTATGAGAAATGTTAAGTTTAGATGAAGATGAAAATCTGAATATAATGATCCTGTCATATGATAAAATACGTTCGTCATCGTACGGTCATATACCGTTCGGTTTCTCTGAAAATGAATTAGAGTAGAATTCTTTCATTTGGGAAGAATTATGTTCGAGAGCGAGCGTCTCCAATTGAAATGCTATGTTTGAGCGTTCGGCTCAGCATGGTGATATCGGATGCCTTAACACTCTAAATAGCGCTCGGTTTCACACCAAGCGTTCGTCTTAAGTCGCGCTCGGTCTTACACTGAGCGTTCGTCCTAAATAGCGCTCGGTCTTAAAATGAGCGTTCGTCCTAAATAGCGCTCAGTCTTATATTGAGCGTTCGTCCTAAATAGCGCTCGGTCTTATATTTAGCGTTCGTCCTGAGAAGTGTAAGGTCTTATACCGAACGCTCGTCCATACCTTTGAATTGCAGAACGTACGTAATTAGCGTTCGTCTCAAATTATCAGTAAAGAAACATTCGCTTTCGGTCATTGACTGACGGTCGATCTTGTTAAACACTTGTTCTCAGAGTACTAAATATTCGTCTTGTTGTATCTTTATTCTTGTGAATTTAGTCTAAGGTTTTTAAATCCAAATAATTCTGAATCATTTATATTATATCGCTCAGAGTCGGTTCATTTAACTGATTCTCGCGAAAGTCACGTTCGTCCTCGTTGTGTAGAGGATTGAACACTCGTCTTTTTATGGAAGTGGAACATAGAATGAAAATGTAAATAAAAGGAAGTATTAAGGTGTGCGAACCGTATAAGAACTGAAATTGTGATGTTGGTATTTGAACGAGCGTTCCATGGAGGGACGACTCATATATATATATTTGATATTAAATTTGGTAAAGTATGACTGTGGATAAGTTAAGACTCGCTGTCCATCCTGATGTTCCGTGAGTACTCATCCTCATGTAGAGGGAGTATGTCATGTGTGGGAACGACAGGAGGTCCTTAGTCCATAAGTTAACATGGGCGACGTAAGAACGGACTGACCTCGAGTGGCAGATGTTTGGTGTATCCCAGTTACTACACCACTCGGGTGCAAGGACGCTTGTAACTACACAGATTCATACGGTCCGGACGGTCGGTCTATATATACATATATATATATATATATAAATATATGTTGGATGATGATTTATGTTGAGTTATGTGTTTTGAATGATTTGAATTGTTAGTATATGTGTTGACGTATGAATTAAATTACTTAAGCTTACCCTTTCGTTTCCTTGTTTTGTCGCCTTGTATATGTACGTTCGTCCTGTTCTTGCAATGATCATCCGTGTGGATGTGAGCAGATGGAGGTGCGTCACTTGAAGAAGTGCTAGAAGAAGAAAATTTGGAAGACGCTAACCAGGTGGATGTAGAAGTTAAAGCCGAGCCTTAGAGCGCTCGCGGGTGTCTGTAGTTAGCTTTATTAATGTTATTTTGAACGTTCGGTTATAGTTTTGTAAGACCGTTCGTCCCTGAACTCTTGCTTGTATAAGCGTTCGTTACTTCTGTATGATTATGCCGTTCGGTGTTTTGACGCTCGTTCAGATTTGTAAGACTGCACTGTTTTATTAGCTTAATGTAATTAATTCTGATTATGGTAATTACTATATTTTGGGATGTTACATTTTTCATCTTCTTTAACATTGTCATCTTCTTCGTAACAGTTTTTCATATTTTTCAATGTTTATCATTTAAACTTTTTTCATCTTCTTCTTAATGTTTTTCATCTTCTTTAACGTTTTTCATCTTCTTCGTAACTTTTTTTTTATCCTTTTTAATGCTTCTCATCTTCAATATTTCTCATGTGCACTTAAAAAAAATCGATATACAAAATAAATAAATTTTCAAGTTAAATATTAGAAAAAGTCTATTCATGGAATGGAATCATGAACATTCTCCATCTTTTCGTGCTAGCTAGCTAGTAAATTCTTCATGTTTGCTAGAAACCGTACTCCTTAATATATGTAATGCTATGTAGAAATAAATATAAGAAAATGAAGACTAAAGAAGAGATTTTGTATTGGTGGAAATTTATATGCTTTATGGGGAAAAGCAATGTTTTGGAAGGATAAATTCTGTCTCTCATGCGATGCCCAATAATATTGTTTTAGGAATTTGTTTGGATTTAATTAAATTTTGTGTTGCTTCAATCAAGTAAGGGAAAGAATTTCTTCTTTTCTTTTTTTTGCATCCGAAGAGCATACAAAGGAATATGTCAATGCATCTTCATCTTCATCTTCCTTCCATAACCTTTCTTTATCACATTCTCCAACAATTTGCATTTCGGTGCTCATCACATCATACTCGATTCTTCAGTATCATACTTATCACCTTTAACATCTAACAATTATAAATATACATCATAAATCATATTGCAATTATCAAAATTAATATTATATATATACCTGTTAAAGGTAGAGACTCGAATAATTTACAATCCTATTATCTCATCAATATATAATTATATAATTATTATAAATTTAAGTATGAATTAAAATTGAGAAATATATAAGAAAAAAAAGTTATATATCAGAGGTTATAATTAATCATCCTAAGTTTATCTCCCGATAAAATAATTACCAGCAATAACTATTGTAAGTTAATCTATTTCACAACATCTAATATAGCTTCTTATTAGATAAGTTTATCTCAAAATTTATTATTGAATTAAAAGCCCCTTATTTGTGTAAGTTGAATTTATAAAATCTTATATTAATTTAAAATAATTCAATACTTCATTGATATACAATAAAATGCAACGTAGTTTATAAAGTATAAAGATATAAATTCTTTTAGCTATATAATTCGATACTTTTAGCAGTTATTTTGTATAAGTTATTAATAATATAAGACTTAATGTTGTTCATAGCCGTATAAAAAAATGTCTTATAGTTTGATATCAACATAAGACTAAATACTAACTTAAAAAATATTGATGCATTATTTTTGCATCCCAAATGCTGATGTGTTTGGTTAAATAAATTAATAAAAGGATTGGAACACTGGTATCTTATCAAATTAATCTTGGGGATGTTCTATTATGTATAAACAAATCTCAAAATGATGCCATGCAGTGTTCCGTACAAGTACTACTGGTGCTGATTAAATTATTAAACCTGTCTTCTATTAAATTACTTTGGTGGGATATTTAGGATGCCTTTGATTAAATAACATAATTAAGTACTTACTTTGTAATTTCTTATCACACAATGCTTGTGACTGAAGATTAATAATAAAATTTATTATATAAATAAATTTTTTACGTTTCTCCCATGAGGAGAAGAAAAAGGCACTGACAATATAAAACAGTTTTGTATTATCTTTTTCTTCTTTGTCTGAATATGTGCCAAAATTGTTTGAGTGAAATTTCTGCATATTTATTACAACGAAATACTAGCAGATAAAACTCTCTTAATTATCAGTATTCTTTGTAGATTGCATCAGAAGGTAAAAACAGTTTTACAGTATTATTTAATTAAAAGCAACCATACATAATCAATTTATAAATTGCCATAATAATTAATTCAAGAATCACGATTTTTATTAACTAATCAATCAAAAGTTTTATATAGATAATACACATATCAAACTCATTATTTACCAAGACAATTTGTTAAATATTGTTGTTTGATCTTTGGAAAAAGAATTACCTGTGAAAGATTGAATTTTCCTTCGTATATAATAATGAACCTTTTCATCTTTACTCAACATGAAATTTAGATTCAGAATTGAATTTTGTAATAGAATTAGACTGAGTGGTGTTATTTTTTTCCAATAAATTTACCTAAAAAAACCATTAGTTATAATTGACCAAAGTTGGTGATGAATGAGAATGTTAGCGCATATGAGAAGATGCATGTGATGTGTTGTTTATATCTAAAGTGGATTCAAATTAACGATCCATCCCACCACAGAGAACATGCGTGTCTGTGTTAGTGTTGAATTGAGGGGCTATATAAACCCCTCCACACCATGCCATACCACACCACACCACACTGCACCATTTCCTTTGCGCTTTTAACTACAATACAAACTTCGTTTTTGTTTTTCCTCTCACATTTTCTGATTATGGACAAAATCCATTCCCACAGGCAGGTAGCTGTTATCAAACACTCCCTCTTCGATCAGGTATGTATGTTCATGTTTTCCAATGTTAACCAAACATATATATGTTATTCTGTGCTGGCTTACACGTTGTTAATTACAAAGAAAGGATTGATTTGAATAGTTGAATGAGGATCCAATGATTGCAGGGATATTTGGATGAGCAGTTTATCCAACTGGAAGAATTGCAGGATGATGCTAATCCTAACTTTGTTGAGGAAATTGTTACTCTTTACTACCGTGATTCTTCTAGGCTTATCTCAAACTTGGACCACACACTGTAACTTACTTAACCAACCTCGTCATACTTTGAGTCTTACAGATTTTATATGTTTCTGCATGTTCTCTGCTTCTGTTTTATTTATATTATCAAAATATGTTGGTGTCATTCATGACAGGGAAAGGAACCCTCTGGATTTCAACAAGCTGGACACAATTATGCACCAGTTTAAAGGAAGCAGCTCAAGGTAAACAAAATGAGTTCGGTTTGGTTAATTATTATAGCAGAAGGCACGTAGCACTCTACTGTGTTGCTTTATTTCATATGATATGACACAACAATGATTTGATGAGTTTTCTTTTGCTATGTGTTGCATTCCAGTATCGGAGCTAAAAAGGTGAAAGCGGAATGCACTCTGTTTAGGGAATATTGCAGGACAAGAAATGGAGAAGGGTAATTCAACTTTATCTTTATCTTCATTCAGCAACAATCACACATACTTTTTCTCAGAGAATGAATCATAACTATCATTTTTATTGAATGCCCTTCACAGTGTGTCCTAAATAGTGATACTTGTGTTGTTGTGAATGAACATGCAGATGCAGGAGGAGCTTCCAACAAATGAAGAAAGAATATGCAATACTGAGAAAGAAGCTTGAAACATATTTTCAGGTGAGTGAGGATATAGTGTGGAATTTGTGTTCATGTTTGTTGAGTTTGGGAGTGTGGTAGACTAAATGCTTCGTTTTGTTTGTGCAGATGGCAAGGCAAGCTGGGCCCAAAGAGACAGCATTTCGGCCCAAGTAAAGAGCTTGCAATGAGAAAGATGTGCTTTTCATGAGGGAAAATGTAATTGGTGAATTTTGTAACTAAGATAAATGCATATTCACCACTTTAGGAAAGGCTATATCACCCGTTTTGGGGTACTATGCATATGTTTCCAAATGTTAAGAAAAGGAATCTTTTTTCTAAAGTTCTATAGTTAGTTCCACTAATACAGAATAACACTGTTTTACTTCTAAATCTGTAAATAATAGCATTACAATTCTCTCTCACTCTGTCTCTTATTTGGGCTCAATCGTCAAGTTCTGTTTATTTTTTTCTTTTAGAGGGTCTAAGTGTGTAACATCTGAGAAAATTGAAAAATAGTAGGGCCACAACCCTGGCTGAAGCAAACACAGCTATGGGAGAGAGAAAACACTACCAAAAACACAAAATTTGTTCGGCATATCACCATATTCGATCATTCAATTACTAACAAATTTCAACTTGCATAAATGACAAATTTCAGCACGCATAAATGACGAATCGCGTCTATTCAAGAAGATTCTTTCTATCCCGTCCCTTCGAGTTGTTACCGCCTAAATCAGAGGAACGACAAGTATACAAACTTCGCACCGAAATCGGTTAATAAAACTCTAACCTAAACTAGAAGAAGAGTGGAGCAGAGAGGAATGGTTAGTTACCATAAGAATCGAAGCCGAAGGTAGGAGCACCGTTATTGGGTTTGGGATGCTTGTCGTCGAGCAGAATTTGCTCCACGGCTGATTCCGTTCTGAATGAAGGAGGTAAAGGCGGTGGAGGAACAGTCGACGTCGTCACTGCCGGTGGATGAAAGCGTTGACGGCAGGATGAATGTCAATCTGATACTCTTCGGCGGCGGCAGAGTCGTCAAATTCCTTCACGTGCTCGTGGCAGACCTACTTCTCGTGATCAGTGAGCGCGAGGTTGAAGTCGAAGGCCTCGTTCCTCTAATCGAACCCTAGCTCGATGAAGGTGTGCTTTCCGTGACCGTGATCGATCTTGAGGACGAAATTGCGCGAAGAGTCGAGGACCGGCTCCACCGCGTTGGCCAGTGTACACGAAGCATGCGGCGAAGAGGTCACTGAGTTTCGGATCCTCAAGGTTGATCTCGCAATGGTTCCTACGAGATACGACGCGAATACGCCAATCACCGTACTTATAGCCGCCGGAGGAGATGGCGAATAATTTCGAAAATTCTATAAGAAAGTTTGGAAAAAATATCCTGCGAAATTTCAAATGTTAACTTTCTCCAAATATAAATTTATAAAAAAAATCTAAGAAAAATTATAGACTTTCTGCGAATGTAAATTTTGTATGAAAAAAATTGTAAAATAAATAAAATTTTAATAACTATTGTATCAAATTCCGACGAAAATAAATTAAGTAAAGATTTCCAAGAAATTTGTGATTTTTGTAATAGTTTTCTGCCAAAATTTAAAATGTTGGTGAAATTTTCTGTAGATCAAAATTAGTAAAGAAAAATCATATAAGTAAATCCTTGGTAAATTTTGCATGAAACTTTCATGATTTTTTTTCGTAGCAACTAAATAATAAATTTCTAGTAGTGACTAAACATGTTGGTCGAAGTCGAAGGAATTTGAACTTAAACATCTAATCGTATGTGTGAAGTTGATTAGAAGAATGCAAGGTGTATATACAAAAATAGTAAAGTATTAACTATATAGATTTGTGAAGTTGATTACAAGAATAGAAGGTATAATATACAAAAATGCTGAAATATTAAATATATACACATTATGTTACGTTAACTTATCGCAATTCAGGTCTTTTATAGAACACATTAGAGATTAAGTTTTGAACATATGTTAGGAACAAAAGTTTATGCCTATTTACATGTGTATTAGTTGGGTGTGTGCTGATATAAATCATGCATGTTTACATCTATTCATTTTTCATATTTATAAAAGGTTATTTATATGTTAGGTGTAATTCAAATTTAATTTTTAATGTGATGCATGTACTTACCAGTCAATATGTCCAAAGATAGATTGAGATTTACCTAAGTATTTTAGCGGACCAACATTTGATCCAACCCTCAACATTTTTTCCTCCCAAACATTAAGTATTTTATGGGTAAAATCTCTGCTCGAGCATTACGTGATCATTTTTTAGGGTAAAAAACACTTATGAAATATAGTTCAGTATAATTGCTTTTAAAATTTCAATATTTCTTTGAACTGCTCTAATATACAGGGACCTTCATTCAATTCTCTACAAATTTGTTTTAAATGTGTAAAAACAAATTTTAACATGAAGGAAATCTATCAATTTTCTTTTCTTCTCTAATAAATTTATTGAGAAATTTATATCAAAAAGATCACATTGATTTTTACTTGTGAGACACCTCAATCTATTTTATCCTTTTTCTATCCTATAGAAAAATGTATCGTCAGCAAATGACTTCCACGGATACAAGTGCAAAGGATGGTATATTTATCTTCACATGTTACTGTTCCCCTTCCTATCATTCAAACTGAAAAATGTTCATGTCAGCGTGTCACCAGGAAATCATTGATGCAACAAAACCTCACTAATATTTACATGTTATTTTACACCACTTAAAAGAGTCTCAGATTTTCCTATTGAAAAGAACCTCTATAAATTAGAATACAAAGTTCAAAAGCATTTCCACTACCTTGGGATGTTGGTTTTGAACTTCAGAAATGAAGGGTCCTAGATGACATTGACGCCCTATCAAAAGGTAAAAGGAGGATAAGTCAAAATAAGCGAGTATAACAGTTTAAGGACCATAGAAATTGTACATATTTCTAAAAAATTCAGGTACCCACCATGTTTGCCGACATTTGACAGCTTCATGGCGAACAACTCTCTTTGTATCATCAAGAGACTTAGATATTGCTCGTAGAACCTAATGTAATTAATATGAAATAGGTTAAAGAACCACGAAAAGAGATTTAACACCCAGGTTATATAAAAAAAGAGGTCAAGACCACGCAGGCAATGAGCCACGCACAATAACTGTGAAATAGTTGATTCAAACATTCAAACACGGCTTGGAATGTCAATAAGTACAAGATGATTCTATTTAAATCCTGATAGGAAGTTCAATAAACATATTTGTCAAAAGCTTCAAAGCTATAAGCATGACAAACCTGTGTCCTCATAGGATAGATTCTGCCATGGGGTAGCTCAGACAAGGCAACAAGACATTGAATAGCTGTCTCTCGAACAAGCTGCACAAGGTGAGGAGAAATCAACAATTGCCATTACTGTGGATTTTGATAGGTCTAAGACAAAAAGATGGAAACAAAAGTGATGAAAGCGGTCTAAAGGGTCTAGCCAGCATTTTTGAGTACAACCTTTGGGGAATAATAAATTAGTACACCAGAAATTAAACTTTACTGAAGCACCTTGTCTTTGGATGGGGCCAAAACCCAAAAAATAAGTAAGGTCAACAGTTCACAAAATAACAGTAATATAAAAAAGCTAAGCAAAGGGGGTTGATATTTGCAATCGCTCCCTCTTTTTACTCTTCAACGACATTGTGACATGTCCATTTTACTTACAATACACAGTGGAAGGAAACTAATTTCCTGAAGTACATTTTTGTCGACGAAAATATAAAAAAACTGGCAGGTCGTATGAAGAGCAACAAGGAGGAGGGTCCGAGTGTAGTCCCCAAAAGAACACCGGTGAGTCTAACATGCAATAAAGTTACTTCATAACACAAATTGAGTCATCAAATTGCACTAATAAATAACTCGTACAGAGAAAACCACATACCATCTTATGAGGGTAGTCCAGAAGCTTAATCAGACAATTGATGATAATGTGCGCATTCTCAATGACAGCTTCTTTTCCTGTTCGCATGAACATAATTTACATAAGACAGCATATTTACAGGTCATTCATACTTGCCAAAACTTACATAATGATCACTGCCTTCATACCCAACACAAGAATGAATAGCATGCGGCTGCATGGCAATTTTTTCTTTGTTAAAATAAGCTAAGCTATAGAAAAAAAGTGAAAATATGGGATATTACACCATAATCTAGCATCTAGTATATAATGACCAATGGTCAAGGTCAATTGTTAAAATATTAACTTAACTAATCCTTATATTGAACCAATTTCTTTCCACAAAGGAATCATAAAAAACTAAAAAGGAAAATAAATTGAATCACAGTATGACAGATAACCCTAAATGTACAGATGAAACAACATTAAAAAAATTCCAATAAGCATGATAATTACCATTTTTCTCAGTCAATATCCCAGATAAGACTAGCAACAGACCATACAGCAAATCTTTATCTTGGGTATCTTCTGTCAACATGGACAAACAATCCAGTAGAACAGGTACAAGCTGCAAAATTTGCCAGTGTGTATGCAGGAAATGTAGTTTGGTCAAGAATATACAGCACAAGGTTTTGACAGAAAAAGAAAAGAATAATTGGAATCTGACATATGTAGCGAGTTAAAATTCCTCAAACTAACCTTTTTAGCATCATTCAGCACAGCAACCATTGGAGTATCAGACAAGACATGTGCCAAAGCTCGGTATAAAAATGATCTGAGATTACAAAAAGCTACACTTTAGGTAGTGAAGGGAAATGTCCCGGTCAAAGCATCTATTTGGAATGTTTGCAATGATGCATTTATTTATGTATGGGGGACCTTGTACAGAATTTTAATCAATAAGGCAAAAAAATTAAAAATAAGCCGCTAGAACTAGTCGATGTGATATGATCTTCAGGAGTCTTTTGGTTTCTCATCATAATGGGAGGAAAAATAATTTTCATCGAGTGTGTTTGTATGTGTGAGAATACATACCTTGACGATGAGGAGTAAGCTTTTGCAATCAACTGCAGAAGGATAGGCATCATAGAAGAGAAAAATCGCTGCTTATACAGAGGCCTTATTGTGGCATGAAATTTTTTGTTCAAACAAACTTCAGAATCACTCATTAGAACATGAAAAGCATCAGCAGCAGATTTCATCACTAAAGGATCCTGAATCTGATCTTCAGATTTCATCACCAAAGGCAAGGCACTCTTTGTGCCTGGTATTAAGCACTCAAGAAATGTGATAGTGATGTCTTTAATCCCTTCATGACCACGTAAAAGTAAACCTTTTCCTATCCAGGAGAGACCACAAATGGCATTGATTTGAAGCAATTTATCATTTGCA